TTATTTAGATTTATTTAGATTTATTTAAATTTATATATAATTATTTAGATTTATTTAGATTTATTTAGATTTATTTAAATTTATATATAATTATTTAGATTTATTTAGATTTATTTAGATTTATTTAAATTTATATATCTAGATTTATTTAAATTTATTTAGATTTATTTAGATTTATTTAAATTTATATATCTAGATTTATCTAAATTTATTTAGATTTATTTATATGTATTTATATTTATTTATATTTATTTAGATTTATATATATAATTATTTAGATTTATTTAGATTTATTTAGATTTATTTAAATTTATATATCTAGATTTATTTAAATTTATTTAGATTTATTTAGATTTATATATCTAGATTTATTTAGATTTATTTAGATTTATTCATATTTATTTATATTTATTTATATTTATTTAGATTTATTTATATTTATTTATATTTATTTATTTATATATATATACTTATATCTATCTAAATTTATTTTTATTTATGTATGTATATTTATTTATTTTTATGTATTTTTATTTATTTTTATTTATGTTTATTTATTTTTATTTAGTTTTATTTATTTTTATTTTTTGCTATTTATATTTATCGTTTATTGAATATATGTATATTTATATTTATTTATATGTATATGTATATTCATATTTATATTTATAACTGTATTTATCTATATATATATGTATATATTTACATTTATATCTATATATATATATTTTTTTATATTCATATTTATATTTATATTATATTTATATTTATAGTTATAGTTACAGTTGTATTTATATTTATATTTATCGCTAGGGAATTTTCGAGCAAGTCATGTTTGATTACCAGATGGTGTTTTTGAATGTTGTAAAATCCAATTTTCCGGAGTCATGAAGATCATGAAAGTCATCATCACTGAAGGAACAGATCTGGTGCTGTTGGGCACCGTTAAGCGAAAGCCAAGCTGTGGCTGTAGCTGCTGTAGCAGGGCTCCAACAAATTTTTGGGGCTCAAGTTTAACTTTCGGAAATGAATCAAATACATCCCATTCAGTCCATTCGATCACAGCAAAACCAGGCTGACATCCCCACGGTGCAGCAACTCAACGGACGAGTAACTCTGGAGAGGTCAGGTTTGAAAGCGCTTTCGTCACAAAGTTGCCAGGCAACCTTCAGCGACGCAGCAATCCAAGGGTGGTATCTAAAATTCAGGACAAAATTCAATACAAATCCCAATGAGATTCACAAACACCATATTTTCAATTCAGGTATCCCAGTGGTATTCCCCATTTTTTTCGGAAACAAAATTCACACGACACAAAGATTCCACAAAGATAACGCCCTAAGAGTTCATCCAGTCAACCGCCCATGGGATGAAGGGCACTGCTCATCACCTTCAAGAAATGGCCATGTTCAGGCCCAAAAATCAATTATGATATCATGGCTGGTTACATATCCCCATAATATTACAGTAAATTATCTCGAAAAATGCTTGGTGTGTCTACCCTAAGGTTTGGACACATCCCATCTTTTCAAACAGGTCATTTTTTAAGACCAGGAGCAGAAAATAGCAGCTTTTCAGGTACCCTCCCACCATCAAAAAACTAGGCATCCCGAGCCATGAGCTTCGATGCCTTGGGCTTTGTCAAAGATGGGATGATGCTATCGGCCGGCTTCAAAGTCAGCTCCTGGACCAAGATCACCGGTGAAATATCGGATTTATATGGATTTCTCATAGGATGTCATAGGACATATGGAAAAGTTTGGGACTTGAAACACCGCCAGGACTTTTCCATGGGAAAATGGGTGATTTCTTTCATCTCGAGCCAGTGATGGGAGTTCACGCGTTCCGGTTCCACTTCTTTTGGGGGTGACGGTTCGCATGGTCAAGTTCAGGTCAAGTCAACAATGTCAAAAATGGTGATTTTCCATAGCTATGTTAAATTACCAGAGGGTATCATTTTCAAGAAATTCCCTGGAAATCTCAGATCTTCCCAGGTTCCATGGAGCCGGCCTATCTACCTATGGTCAAGTCATTGGCTTCCAAAAGATCCAAGTTTTATCGTTGAGGCTTGGTGACCTCAACCAGGGCCCCGGTGGTTTGGAATGGGTCAAACTTGCAACTGTTTTCCAACTCTTTTCCCTTGTAAAGAGCTGGAGTTTCATCAACTTCTACACTTCAGTTGGCCGCATACCTTATCGGACTACCCTGACTGGAGTGTGCTGCAAGCCCTATTTCACCAGCATTTCCGGTGGCGTGAAAGAAACTCTGAAGGTGCCACAAAAATATCGGAAACTGGTCGTAGTCAACAATGCAATCCCCTAACGCCTCAGTCAGGACCAGTGTACAACCATGGTAGCCCTATGTAGCCCTAATTCTTTGTCTGGATTCATCCTCATAAATTACACCTTGGTTGTCGCATCAAAAAGAAACGAATGGATACTTCGAATGGATCTTTCCCGACATCTTTTTTGATGAACCCAGAATATGTAGAAAGGGAACATTTTACTTTTCTGCACCTTTTTGGGGGATTGCTGTACCCTCCGGTAATCAACCATGGTTTATTGGAAAATCCCCCATTCATACCTGATGTTTTCATGAAAACCGAAAACAACCACGGGATTTCCCAACGTCCATGTTTGATTTTCCTGCCAAAAATGTTCCTTGATATCCCATAAAATCCAAGTTTAACATCTTTCATGGTTAAAAACACCATGTTTTACGTATTTTTGCCATGTTGGCACCCTGCTGCTGCCATGTTGTGCCTGCTGATGGACTTGGTCTCCATGCACGCTAGCCATCAGAAAGGCTGAGCCTTGGCGTTTCGAAAAAAAATATCGGGGATATAGGTATGTGTATAATATATATATATGGATACAATATATATCCGTTTCAAACAAAGTAGCTGGGGAGATAGGTAGCTCAGTGAAGCGGCTCAAAGGGCTGAAGACGCACGTCAAGATATAGATACCCTCTGGTAATTTGTTACATAGCTATTGAACATAGCCATTGATAGTGGATTCTCCTATTAAAAATTGTGGATCTTTCCATAGTTATGTGGCTGTTTACCAGGCCGGGTATATAGCTCAAGAGGGTAGCTCAATCAAACGATGTCGGTGCTGACGGTGCTCCCCAAGCCTCGGACCGATTTCCCTCGGCCCAATGAGCTGCCAAGAGAGGACCTCGCGGACCCGACTTTGTGGGCAAAGTGCTTGGAGATTTGAGAAGTCACAGAGAAGTCACAGAAGTATTCTATAGTATTCTGATATGGCAGTGTGTCAAAACCTTGTACCCCTGGTGAACATCAAAATAGCTGGTAAATGGATGTTCATCCCCCTAAAAATGGTATTAATAGGTATTGATCCATAGCCATATGGGTATGGGTCAAAACCCTGGTACCCTATATAGGTACCTATGGTACCTTAAAATGGCTGGTGAATGGAGGCTTATTCCCCAAGTATGGCAAGGTTTTGATCCCCACATCAGTTCATGTGAGTTGAGCAGTGCTCAAAATCCCTCTGTCATTCTACTGGTTCATGGGGATGTTCATCGCGGATTACGTTCAATCCCCCATGTAGTGGATAGTATAATCTCCTATGATAAAGCGGTTTTGAACACTGTTCAGTTCACCTGGTATCAATTGACTCACTAACCATGGTATACGGATATTGGTGAGTTTCTTTTTTTTGTTTTGTGAGTTACTCAATCCCTTCCCACTAATAGTAAGAAAACTCAGAAACAAATCTATTCATTTGGCAGTCTTGGGAAGGGAGATTTGGTGAGTGGTGAAAAAGAATGCTGTTCAAATCCCCATTCCCAAGTCATTTTTGGTATGATTCCCCATCCGAACCATCATGTATGGCTGTTGAGGTCGCCATATGTTATTTACCCAGAGCAATCTAAGCTGGCTAGAAACAAATGATGTCCAAGTTGAGACTTTTCCCGCCATGTTTGATACACCAAGTGTTTGGGGTGGGTCAAATCATTCGGTGGACACAAACAAAAAGTAAAGTCAATGGTTGAGAATCAAACAGAATCAAACATCTCTTGAACCCTGTCATTTGCACCATCCCCCAATCATCACCATAAATATATAGCTGAGATATATATATATACTATTCCAAGTCATGAATTGTTTATTATTATTGTTGTTTAACATGACACATGATTGATGAATTACTAACCACATAGCACGACGGATGGTCCCCATGCCTTGATGAGGATGTTGGGCACTCGGTTGGCTCGCACTTCCACCTTCTCCTCGACCTAAGGGATCGATGCCATTGAAGCTTCCAGAAGTGGAGCTGAATGTTCATAACTGTGTATGTATATGTGTATATATATAGAGACATATTGTGTGCAGCCAACGATGGAATGTATTTATGGAATGTACTTGAATGTAGTGCGGTGTAATTCCACTGTAATACTTGGGGTTCTGTGAAAACGGGGCTCTCCGAATTCTTCGTTTTGGCCACGGGGGTGCTTGAATCAGTTGACCGGTGAACAAATCTGGGGGGTGCCTCGGTCCCTCTAAAGTCATCGTGCAGGGCTGAAACAAAAAAATGATATGATATGTATGAAATGTACATCCATATGTTTGTCTAGAAAAATTCATCTATCATTATCCATCTACTCTGCCATCCATTCATCCATTAATCTGGGTATGGGTCAAAATTAGCTACCCCAAAATTATGGATGGTTAATACTAAACTAGACTGACTTTCACATCTGTGGTCCCATTAATGGTCTTCCATTTTGACCCACATCCATCTACACAGATTCAAAAAACCAAGGAGCCAGGAAGTCCCAAACGGGATTGGAGGATGATGAAGCTGCCTGATCCCAGGGATCCCCAGTTGGTAACCTCGAAACTGGAGATATCACTGATATAAGCCATAAAAATACATGATTTATACATGGAGAAGCCCAGTTGATGAACTTACTCACCAGGATTATCAACCAGTTGAACTTACTCACCAGGAGTAAGTAAATCTCTTCCAGTGGGATGATCCTGCTTTAGTGGTGATCATTGGTCCCCATTTCCCACTGGGTTTTCCCATTCCTATGGAAACTGACCCCAGTGACCAACCAGTGGTATGATGCTTCCAGACTCAGGGATCAAACTCCTGTGACGCAAGTGGCGGTGGCTCAGTTCAAATCTGGATATTCCCAGATATTCACAGAAAAAGTTGGAAGATCTATTACTGGTTGGTGGTTGAGGTTTCAACCCCTCTGAAAAATGATGGAGTTAAAGTCAGTTGGGATGATGACATTCCCAATATATGGAAAAATTAAAAAAAATCAAACCACCAACCAGATTACCATTGTTGCAAGATATTCCGGAAAATACTTCGGAGGATGCCGACCATCTCCATTCTCATCTCACTAGTCGCTGTGGCTCATGGGGACCATTGGATTCTCATCATTTTTCCACGTCCATTTAACAAATGGCTGGGTTGAAGCCCTCATTTTCAGACAAACCCGTGTCTGGTTCATATCTAAGAAAGGTAGGTCATGTTTATATATATATATATACGTATATATATATATATACATACGTATATATATATATTATACATACATACATATATATATATATATATGTACATATATATATATATGTAAATATACATATATATATATGTGTGTGTGTGTAGCTTCATTAATGTGGCAATGGTCATGGTCATATTCACCCCATCTTCATACTGGTCGAGAAAGAGATTCCTCAGATGGATTGCGACCCCCTTCATATACACAAGGTAAAGGTGTGTATAACCCCCGAACTGATCATCAACCATCTCCCAACCATCATCAACTATATCTTCATATTCATGGATTTGAAAGCCCATAACTAGATATATTAGATGGTTAAATCATTTAAATCCCATTCAAATCATATGAAACTGGCTTTTGAAGACTCTTCAAATGTCGTGGCTCGACGTCCCAAACTGTGCTGCGGACAAGACTTTTCAAGGTCTTGATCTCAGAGGCAGATTCTTGGATCACCACCTGTCACCAATTTCCACGGGAAAAAAAAAGCCCTGGCCCCACGAAACTTCATGTGATGGATGTGATGGATTTTTTGTGGTATCTAATGGATAATATATGTATGTAGTATGTTGTATCTATATATATATGTATGTAATGGGATATGATGGGATGGATGTTTGAGCCATGTTTCACCATCCACATGTGAAAATTTATGGTGATAATGGGGACAGCTACTCGGATATAATGGGATGTATGATGAAGAATATGCTATGGGTCCGAAAATGGGGGATACCGGTGACAATTGACCATGGAATTTTGGTGAACTCTCCGGTAATCAAACATGGCAATTGAAAATCCTAGTTTTAATGGTGTCTGGATGTGAAAATCATCTATAAAGGCAGGATTTTCCTTTGCCATGTTTGATTGCAAGAAGATAACCTGAAAGGCGCTCGAAAAGCCAGGACAAGGTCCAGTCACCAAGACATAGGAGTGAACCATTTTGGTGTTTCCTATGGGGGTACCCCAAGTCAACATGGGTTTCAATACTAAAATATTCTGATGACTTGGATGATTTAGGGTACCCCCATTTATATAGAAAACCTCCATTTCTGGAATCCCTCATCCACTCCTCATTTCTGGAATCCCTCATCCACTCCACATCCCGCTGCCAGCCGCCGGGTGAATTTGTGGCTTTCGCACCTCCAAATAGCTCTTGTCCAAAGGGAGATCCTGATGGCGCAGGTTTTTTGCGGAAGAGTTCTGAATTGGGGAACCAAGCCAGGCCTGCCAGGTTCAGGGTTTTAGGGCCCGCCCAATATCCGAAGGATTTTCCGGTCAAGGTTGGATAGAAAAGATGGATCGTCGATGTCGTTCATCACCTAATCAGCTCTACCCCAAGATTATTTGGATGGTCTGCCCTGAAAAATCATCACATTCCTTTTGGATCCTGAAGAAAGGAATCATTCCTTGGGTCTTCCCCTTCCTAAGGTTCTTACAAAACAATGAAACTACCCTCTGGTGAACTAACATAGCAATTGAAAATCACCATTTTTAATGGGAAAATCCACTATTAATGGCCATGTTCAATAGCTACGTTAAATTACCAGAGGGTATCTTTTCTAGAGCTTCCATTCCTCCCCATCCCCACTCGGCTTTGTCCACAAAAATATTGGGCTGAGTCTCCCCATTGTCCAATGGCCACATATTCTCTTTCTGGTCAAACCCAAAAATTACCTACATGTGTATATGTGTATATATATATATATATATGTATAGAAATACATGTGTATATATATATGTATAGAAATACATATTATATATATATACATAGAGATACATATAGAGATACATATGGCGTCATCTCCCTATATAGAGTGGTTGGCGTGATTTCCCCATCTTTGGGTGTGAGTATCTTATTCAATGAGAAACCCATTGGATCTTTATCTGATATACCCGTTCTGTTGACTAAATCCACTTAGCATTCCCACGACTAACAAGGACCCTGCCAAATTAGGGAGTTGGATGTTTATCCGTTCCTCTAAAATGGGTGAAGCTCAGGGCTGTCACTTGGAGGAATGGCGTAAATTCCCATTTTGGCCCGGCTGGTTACCCGGTGACCGTAGCCTGTCCTCCCCATGATGGATGCAGAGTCGAAGCACCATCTGCGAGGTAGAACTGCGCGCAGCTGCGCGAAGGGATCATTTTACCCTGGTGCCCTTCTGTTTCCCAATGGAAAACCAGAGACGCAACCTGTGCCAAAAGTTGGTGTGTTTGATTTTAGTGATACCAACCTCCGAATAATCAATAAGTTCGAATTTTGGTTTGTCTGAAAGTTGGAAAACTACCATTGATTTCTAGCAATGAACTATTTTTTATTTTTGGTGTCTTTGTAAACATTTTCAGGTACCAAACCAAAATATCATCTTGTGGCAATATCCCGTGGCTAAACGGGTCAAAACTGGCTATCCCAAAACAGTAAATTTGGTCCCCTGGGTCTGAGAAATTTTGACCCATCATGGCACCTTATGATGGTTATATAAGTTTGAGAGATCGAACCTGACAATGGTCATCGGCTCAGAAAATCTCCGATTTTCTCGACTCTGGGATCTCAGCCGCTCCTGATAGGTCTACCTTTCCCATCGTCCACAATGGGCCTGTGCGTCAGAGTGGTCGTGGGGTGCAGGAAGGGCTGCAAGGGGTTCAGGGTTTAGGGTTTCTGCAAAAAGCCGGTTTGTCTCCTGTCTAAATATGTATGTAATGTAAATATGTATGCAAATATGCAAATATGCAAATATGCAAATATGCATGCATGAATGAATGTCTGTCTGTCTGTCTGTCTGTCTGTCTGTCTGTCTGTTTCTCTGTCTCTCTGTCTCTCTGTCTCTCTGTCTCTCTGTCTCTCTGTCTCTCTGTCTCTCTGTCTCTCTGTCTCTCTGTCTCTCTGTCTCTCTGTCTCTCTGTCTCTCTGTCTCTAAGTCTCTGTAAGTCTGTATCTATGTCTGTATGTACGTATTGTACGTATTGTACGTATTGTACGTATTGTACGTATTGTACGTATTGTACGTATTGTACGTATTGTACGTATTGTACGTATTGTACGTATGGTACGTATTGTACGTATGGTACGTATGTACGTATGTACGTATGTACGTATGTACGTATGTACGTATGTACGTATGTACGTATGTACGTATGTACGTATGTACGTATGTACGTATGTACGTATGTACGTATGTACGTAGTACGTATGTACGTATGTACGTATGTACGTATGTACGTATGTACGTATGTACGTATGTACGTATGTACGTATGTACGTATGTACGTATGTACGTATGTACGTATGTACGTATGTACGTATGTACGTATGTACGTATGTGCGTATGTACGTATGTACGTATGTACGTATGTACGTATGTACGTATGTACGTATGTACGTATGAACGTATGAACGTATGTACGTATGTACGTATGTACGTATGTACGTATGTACGTATGTACGTATGTACGTATGTACGTATGTACGTATGTACGTATGCACGTATGTACGTATGTACGTATGTACGTATGTACGTATGTACGTATGTACGTATGTACGTATGTACGTATGTATGTATGTATGTATGTATACATATATATATATACATATATATATACATATATATACATATATATATATGATGTGTGTGTGTACATATGCGGAAAAAAGTGCTCTCCTTCCAACTATCTTAATCTTGACCAGAACTCGGGGACCTGTGTGCAGTGTAGGACTTTGGTGCCATTCCTTCCCTGCATCTCCGTGGGTAGAAGTCATTGGAACATCTGGGGCAGGATACCTCCATCATCAGGTACCCTCTGGTAAACTAACATAACTATGGAAAATCACCATTTTCAATGGGAAAATCCTCTATAAATGGCCATTTTCAATAGCTATGTTAAATTATCAGAGGGTAAGGAGTGGCTCAATCAACATATGAAACCTAAACCCCAAACCATTTAGATCCAGTGCATCGCTCTCATATGACCAAAGTGCATTTGTACGAACGTCTGTGCGCATACATGGTTCAAATGTCTTGGATTTTGCCAAAAAAAGGTATATCTACCCTTTCTCAATGGATTGGTTTAGGGGAAAATCTGCAGGAAAGCCCCATATTTAATGGGAAAATCTATGGTTTCCTGTAAATTTTCCCGTAGGCCAATCCAATGACTTTCTAGTCAAATGACTCAAATTTTACCCATAGTGATGATCCACAATTAACCCAAGGGTGATCCATTAGTCCAAAAGTGATTAAAATTGGGTGTTCCCTTCAGCCTCGATGGAAGGGCCTGGGCAATCTGGGCATGTTGCAGGGGGATTCTCCCAAGATTTGTTGTAACATCTGTGTTCACCGTTGGCAGCACATTATTCCGTGTATCTTTTCAGTGGTATTGCTATACCATCAACAATAGGTGTGCAATTTGAACAACTTAAAAGATTATTCCCATTGGGTTGCTATACACCTCAACAATCCACAGCCGTGGAAACCGTACAGGACTTCAAAACGGCAGGTTTAGCTGCTAGATCAGTACCAAGGTCATTTTTAGGGAAGTGTCATGTTTGAAAACCACTTTCTGGTCCTTCGAAGACACCTGGCAGATTGCCCGGAAAATTTGTTGACATGTGGAACGGTGGAACCATGTCAAATTTTCTTGGAGCATTGAGAGGCATGTTTTTCTACTTGACCAACAAGACTTACTCATTCCCAGGGTTTTCTTCGACTTCCTATGGATTCACCTGGTGCTCTAGAGAACTTAGAAGTCCCAGCAAAACTCCCAAGGCATCCCTTTCATCCAATGCTTTTGGAACAGCTGTGAACCATCATGTTCCATCCTTTTCCTTCATAAAAAAATTGTCAACATGTGCATTACATATACATATATATATATGTATACATTTCTACATTTAGGGATTAGGTGCGAATGTAAATATATATATATATATTGTCAGTATTATGTATATTAACAATATTTCCTTCTTATTATACATATAGATATATACGAAGTGCATATTTGCTGCTAAGACACTGCCGACGCATCGACACCGGTGATCTCTGCATCTGCCTTCCAAGCGGTGAAAAGCATCACGTGCCATGTGCGTCATGGTCGCATTTTAACTGTTGCCCGTGTTCCTCATGATTATAATGGATTATAGTGGATTACTAGGTCAACAGATTATTCCATAACCAAAACATATTATTCTGTAACCAAAACGTATTATTCCTCAACCAAGGATTATTCTATAACCAAAACAAAATTTGTAGTGGATTACTATGGATTATATTGTTCCTCATCTCATGAAATCCCAATGGAACCCCCCCTGAATGCTGAATGGATGGTACCATCTCCAAGTGGTTTTTGTTGATTCTTGGCTTGCCATGACATACTAGTTGGTTGATAGGCTTCCCTTTAATATGGCTTAGTAATCCCCGTTATCACCACGTGTAACTCCTGTAATAACCAATCAACAAGGGTATTTTGTTCATGGCTCCTTTGGGACTAGCCTTTGGGTAAGTTATTGCGACAATGTGGGTATTTACTGAAATGTGCGTAAAACAAGGCCATAAATCATCCCCCAGTCATCACCATTTTGATAGGTGGTATGGTTACCATTCCCAGTCATGGGTGGTTTATGGCATTGTTTTTCCCACATTAAAGGGAGTACAGTATATGACCAACCGTGCGATGCATTCCAACCTCGCGAGTCGGGCCAAAAAAACACCACCGCTACTTAGGCAGCAAAAAAAATCACATTTCAGGGCACTCAAATGCGGTAAAATATCTGTTTGAGGGGTCACCGAGACCCATTTACGAAGCAATTCCTCACTTCAGCAGCATTCATAAGCCCATAAGCCACTGTCATTGCATCGTGGTTGGTTCAGAGCTGGATTCCTCATGGACTCCTGGATGATGATACTCCACATCAACCAACCAGGATTGATGAGGTACCCTCTGGTAATTTCACATAGCTATTGAAAATGGCCATTTATAGTGGATTTTCCCATTAAAAATGGTGATTTTCCATAGCTATGTTAGTTTACCAGAGGATAACCATATTTATGATGGCATAAATAGCGCCCCCAAGAAGCTGGTGAAATCCCATTCAAAGCCCATGAAAATGTGGGTTTTTAGACAATGCCATTTGCACCATCCCCCAGTCATCACCATTTTTATAGGTGGTGTGTATATATATATATATCCTCTGGTAAACAGCCACATAACTATGGAAAAATCCACCATTTTATAGCTGGGTAAATCCACTATTTCGACTGGGTCATGGCTTCAATAGCTTTTGACATAACCAGAGGGTAGTAACTATACAATTCCAAGTCATGGATGGTTAATGACATGGTTTTCCGCACATTAAGCCTGCTCGGATTTCCAGCCATCCCCTCTGGTTTCGTTTCATGGCACCTGACAGGTGACACCCACAACTGATGACAGCCCGGAGCAATCCGCAACGTGTCCTAAAAGCACACGGAACCGGGAACCGCTGAAATGCAGTTCTTGGGTAAACCAATTCACTGGTAAACTTCATCAATTCATTGGGAAATGTTGATCTTGATTAAGATTTGATGGGAACTATATAATAATGTGAAATGAATATGAATCCAACAATGACCACTTGCTGGGTTTCAACTTATCAACCAACATCAAATAACGTCTTTAAACTCCTAATGACTAACCAATTGCGGGTAATTAAGAACGTTCAGTGCACAGCAATGGAAAATCGCAACATGTATGGTGTTTTTCCCCACATCATCATCGAAGTTCTAAATGGGTGATGTTGCTAGCCTGCCAGGGCTGATTTTCCAGCACTAAAAGTCCCGGGGAGTATCCGTATGATGGAAATGATGGACATCTTTTTGCCGACTCAAAAAAAATGCAGAACAGTTGACCAGTTGACCACGATTTTTGAAACGTGCAGTACCATGGTGTACCAATCTTTGGCTTTTCGGGGCGTTCTGAGAAATTCCTTTCTCTGTGTCATGATTTCCCATCCATGGCAGAATGGGGCCCCTGGAACAAGGGGGAAAGGCAAATGGTATTGGCTCAAACTCACTGACACCCCGTAGCCCTAAATCCATGGGTTTATGATCCGTATCCTTATAGAAAAATCCAAATTTGGACACATTTTGGGGTGTGAATACTCCATTTTCAGCGCCTAAACATGAAATTGTTCATAAAATATCTCCCATGAATATCCACTATATATATTATATTCATTTATGTTCTGGAAGTCCAAAAAACCTAAACCGCCTTTGAAAATTGTCTAGCCATTTTCATGGGGCGCATTGATACACATTTCGACTCACTTGTGATCAGCATGATCAGCTTTGTAGGCCCGTGGCCGCTTCAAAAATGGGGACAATGATAGATCGCAAAAGAGTTGTGTCTTCTCTAGAAAATCAGGACCATAAAGTATCATAAAGTACTGGATTTGTTCATGGCACAAAAATGGGTCCAAATTGAGGACACCAATCTGAAATATGTCTCTTGGGGCTTTGAGGGAAAGTCTCTCCTTTTCCTCGGTAGGATCTTTTTTCAGTGCTTTGCTTCGAGAAAGTTAACAGGTCATCCCAATCAACTTCCCAACCCCCCGTTGCAGTTGCGTGTGACAAAGAAAGTTCCCTGCGCATCATTGAACCCATTTCATCGGGACCAACCCGTGACAAGGGGATTGGTTGGTTTGAGAGTGGAATTTGGAGCAGCGGATCTGGTTGTCAAACAGCTTTGCCAAAAAATGATGGAGCAGAATGGCAAGAGTTGAAGACAGCAACTTCGCATGTTGCTCGGATCAACAATGTATATAGTTCTATAGTCGTTATTCACAATGTTGGAGTAGAAAAACACAATGCGAAACAATCTTATCCTGACGCATTTCAGGCTAATTAGCTAATTCAGCCAAGCTCAAAACCCTTCTGTTTCTGGGCATGCTTGCTGATCTGGGCTGATCTAGCTGCCCTCCAGGCAAAAATATCAAAACTCAAACTTCGTAAGAATCCACCATTCACCCAGGGGTAGTTGGACGAAATCCTTTTGAGATGATTTGTGCAATTCAAATGTTCATCATTCGATGGCTTTTCTAGGCATAACCCCCAAAAAATATACAATCCACAATCCTGCCAACCGGATCCCGGAATTGTTTTTCGGGAAAATCATGGGGGTTTCAAAAATGCCATGGCTTAAACCTTGCAATCTGTCAAAATCTCTGAAATCCCAAACCGCAACCACCAAGATCGCCATCGTCGAACCCCCGGTCCTAGGGTATGGGTGACGCTGCTCCAGAAATCGACCACTGACTTCTTGGCGCTTTGCAGAAACAAGGCCAGCGGTAAAGCAGCGGTGGCCATCTGCCCCGTCATCTGCGAGGATCTCTGGGGCACTTGGGGCTTTTTTGGGGGCCCTGATCTCCCAAAAGAGCCATTGTTATGGGGAAAATGCGGATCAACTCATGGTAATCCTTAGTCAAATGAAGATTTCATGCGGATACCATGGGATAATATAGCCAACAATATAACATCTGGATTTGTCTCTCACAATGGGTTGTATACCCCTGAATTGTTGTTTTCAGAGGATAAATAAGGTTTGAGACCATTGGACCAAACCCGGAGTCATGGCACCGTGGCACCGTGGCACCGTGGCCCCTGCTGTGACTCTCAGCGAATAGAAGAGTCTATTGGGGAGACTGCAAAAAGCAGGGAGTTTCATAGACGTCAATAATGAGTGGTCCTCCAGTTTCTGCATCAGTTATACTATAGTTAGCTGCTATGCAAACCGACCCTTCTATTTTTCCCAAGAGAACTTTGTCGGGATTTTGAATGGAAAACCTTGGTGTTCTAGTTTCATCAATCCGTCCCAAAAAGTGTGAAAAAATGTCGATTGGGATTCTCATCCCAAATAGAATTGAAAACAAAAATCTTGGGAAGCCACCGGCCAATGAGCAAAAATTAGGCTTTGATTCACTTCCATGTCCACAAAAAATGTGCTTCTAGACCTCAGAATTGTGTAGCCGCATCGCACGAACCAAAGACAATGTTTCTCAAGGTGAGGTTCTTTTGCAAGCATGGGTATGTATGTGTGTACGTCTGTATATACATATACCTCTGTGTGTGTGTGTGGGTTGATTTTTTTCTTTGCAGTTTGAATCCTGCTAGTGGTTTGGACTTGGTCTTTCATTATTTGTCTGATTCCCACGGATGGAAAGGAACAAGAAGTGCAACAACGACATGCAAGTGGAGAGGAAGGCCCTCGAAAAATTCCCAAGTCGAGTGACCAAAATCCCGTTTCAGGACTTTGGTTCAACACAATCACTGTAGAATCCAACCCCAAAACTCTTCTGGGAAAGTGCTATAGGCTGCTAGGCAAGTTCTTGACCGACCAAATTTTTCCAAGGGATTCAACTGAAAATCTCCTTGTTATCCGATGTTCGGTCACAGAGAGTTCCATTGCCGACGATACTTTGAGGGGGTTGCTTCCCATGAAAGTTGTATAGTTACTACCCTCTGGTAAACAGCCACATAGCTATTGAAAATGGCCCATTTGGTAGTTGATTTACCTATTAAAGATGGTGATCTTCCATGGCTTTTTGTATGTTTACCAGAGTGTATGTACCATTGCATAACAAGAGCCGCTAACCCACCCCTGGGTCTTCCCACATGCATTTGCTCCAAGTCAATCCTCTGAGACATGGTGACAAGACCTGCACGAGGCCCCTGCTCAAGGGAAGCTGAGTCACTTCCCAATGTTGTTTCCCCAAGAAAATACCATAGAACTATGTTGTCCCAAATTCCGGCTCCTGACCAAGGAACAGGGGACCCAGGGGATCAAAAAAAAACGACACGGTTTAGGTGATTTTTAAGGCACTGCCGGAAATTCACCCTATAAAAAATCACTCCCTGGTCCTGGTCGTTTCCTCCATCCCGCGTCACCACTACCACACCTGCAACGAGCGCAGGCGCAACCCACCGCTTTCTTGAGCCAAAGCTGCCTTGGGATCGATCCTGCTCAACCACATAGACACCTGGATCTGGGCATCCTGATGCATCCTGATGCATCCTGGATCTTCTCCAAAGGGTTTTTCAGCAAATCCCCAGGAAATCCAACCCAGGAGCCGGGATCGGCATGGTGGCCAGCGGCTAAGTGAAACCGCCAGGACCGACACGAAAAAAGCAGGCTGCTTGAGCGTCAACGTAAAATCTTCACACAAAATGAATTGATTTAACGAAAACCCACAGGAAACCATGATTTCTACCCTGAAACATAGGGGTCCAGTTCTATTTATTTTCCCATCATCCAATTCCCAGAATCTCAACGAATCTTCTCCGCCCGTCCGCTAGCTCTTTTCTGTCTGACGGCCCACCAGTTCCGCCCATCATTCATCCGCGGCTCCCTCACCTGCAAACAAAAAGCAGGTGAGAAGAAAATGTGGAGGAATGATTTGGGTATGGCCCGGTATGGCTCAAACCTGGGGTTGTGGTACCAATTGACGCCACGCAGCCACCCACTTCACTGGGTGACTTTTGGTATCAAACTATTTTACTCCGGGGTTGGCGCAGGTGGATTTGGAGCCAGTTCCATTTCAATTGCTGTCCATAGTAGCAAGTCTTACGTAGCGCCTTGTTTTCAACAAAAAAAGCTTCGGATGGAGCATTGGTGCTGACCAAATCATCCAATTCACGTAGCCAACTCATCATTTTCCAATCCAATCATCCAATTAAACTGGCTTCAAATCATCCAAAAACGGATTCATCATTTTCCAATTCCAATCCTGGCGAAGCCAACATAAGAACGAAGGTCTTCCACGCGAAGCCAAAAAAAACAGGTCAGGTCACAGAAAAACGAAGTTGTTATCGTTTTTCTCGTCATTTGTAGATCAGTGAAGGTCTGAAGAGACAGCTATTCCTATGTTTTTGGATTCCCAAGTTCCATGGATTTTTTTTGTATTCCCCACTATACAAAGGATAGTATATAACCGTATAACCCTAATGATCAACTAACAGGGGTTATTTTGAAGCCATGCCTAGTCCCCTCCCCGGATCAGGTATCCAATCGCCTGGAGCACGCCGCCTGGATCGTTGATGTTTTACCATATATGTATATATATATACATACATACATACCATACCATACCATACCATACCATACCATACCATTACATTACATTACATTACATTACATACATACATACATTACATACATACCATAACTTAACATAACATAACACAACACAACAGAACATTACATTGCATTGCATTGCACTGCACTGCATTACATTACATTACATTACATTACATTACATTACATACATACATACAGCATATAATGGGGTACATAAGCAACCATATATATATATATGGATATATGATATATATGGATATATGATATATATGATATTTGAGTTTGACAAAAACTGGCGGATACCCCACAGATTGCAATTTGGATAGGGGAATTTTAAAAATATGATGGAAACAAAAAAAAAAACAGCGGCCTTCAGCATAGCAGCCTGATTTTGTTGATGGTTTCCCCTTCTTATGACTGGTATTGTGATATTACTATTACAGTCGTGGTGAATGTTATATGGTTATGTATGGTTGTATATGGTTACATATAGTTCCATATGGTTATATATGGCTATCTCCAATATATCTATCATCTAGTTGGGAAACACTATTCTTAGCTCCTTGGCTCCCCATTGAGTAGGGAATATGGATACCCCAACCGCTCCGAATCGCTCCCTCCGTTCACCACTGGAAGTATGTGCCGATCATAATCTGACAGGCTGACAGGTAATTCCACAAAAAAAAACGTTGCTGAAACAGGCGTTTGGTTTAATCGCACAGTCGCCACATCCTCCATCATTTGGATGAGTTGCTCCACAACACTCGAGGCGGGGTGTATCACCAAAGGCTAGTTTCTCACTGATCCACATCATCCAGAAGAAATTAAAGCCCAACATTGATATGATAAAACACTGTTCCAAAACCTCAGGTTTTGGAAAACAATCAGGATATACTTCACATAACAAATAAAAATCTGAGAGTCAAAACAGAGGTGAAACGATTCTTGGTCCAAAAAAATGTTGTGCATTTTGAGCTTCGCAGCTTTGCTTGCCCTTGAGGCCCCTCACCTCTGTCCCTTCTTTTTGGGAGCATCTTCCTGCTCAGCTCGCGGCAAGTCACAGATGATGACATTGGAAAAGGCTCAACTGCAAATCACAGGGCCCAGGGCCATGTCCACTGGTTGTTGTACTAGGGATTATACGCTCCAGTAAATTAACATAGACCCTGCCAGTTGTCGGGGTTGGAAGACAAGTGAGACCACTATGAATTGGTCATTTTCAGGGTCTGTGTTAATTTACTAGGGATTGTACTACTTGCTTTATTGATGTTAGTGTCAAACCAGCCACACACCCAAGTTTTGTCATTGAAATAACCAGTGAGAAATCCACGTTGAGACGCTTCACCATGGCGAACATCATGCAGGATCATCTTCAATACCAAGCAACTTCTATATACTGCAATACACAATATAACATGTAATATTGCTATGTCCTGTATCAATACTGCAATAAATATAGTAGATAATATAATTATATATCATGTAGTGATATTGCATGTACTGTACATAATATATGTATATACACAATTATACACATGTATTGCATATGTAAATCATATGTATATTTGTATGTAACTACTGTAGTCCCATTCCCCCACAAACGCTAGATTTAGCGCCTTAGCGCAACACCTATCACTGAGTTCCAGGCGGGAAAGAAGGCTTGCAGAGTGAAACCATCCACCTCGGCTCCAAGGGAGCCTTGGAGGTGACCTTTTCAGACCCTGGCTGGAAACTCCACCAAGGAGGAAAAACTCCGAGACTTTGAGCTTTGAAACCAACCAGAAAGAGGGGATGGGGATCACTGGATCACTCTGCGAATTTCGAGACCACTGGCCATTCTTCTTGGGTCAAAATTCCGGACACCCCAAAACTAATGGCTTCTCCGGCAGGCCATGAAACTGTGGATTCATGAAACGGTCGTCAGCTGAGAGATCCTGAGTCACAATCTTTTTTTAGCTTTAAATCCCCTTTTTTTAGTTGGCAAATAGCCCCATTTGATGGTGGGGTAAACTCCAATTTCTCATGCTGAAAAAATCAAACGGTCAAATCCTGTGCTCGTTCAATCCCCATTTTTGTTGAAGAAATCACATCACCAGAGATCACACAACGGACCTCAGCACCCTCCCAACCTCCGCGCCATTCACACGACTCTGACTTCGTCGTGCGTTCATCTTGCGACAGTAAGCCACAAGCAATTTCCTGCGCCGACGGGTTCTGACAAAAACGCCCCAAATACTGTAGCTTTGGGGAAATTCTACAGTCAGTTCCCTCTCCATGCCCGGATGACGGCATGAGCTATGGCAGCTATGGCAGCTATCACTGAGGGTAATATGTTTGGTAAATAGACTGATAGAAATGACAGCTCTCCCACCCATTGTGGCTATAATATAATAGTCCTGAGGATGGAGAATTTCTGCAATCCAATCCATGGGGCGAGTGAAAAAAAAAATCATCAAACTCGGATTTGAAGCACCAAAACTATCCATATGGATTTTCATTGATGGATGGCTTATGTTCTTCATAGGAGCCGGCATGACGACATGACGCCAACCACGGGGATCCCCGTTTCCCCAACGTCGCCTCTTGCCGTGCTTGGCCTTATCAGCTCCCAAAATGGTGCGTAGCTCGCCAAAGCGAGCAAAGTACCTGTTGCGGCCAGCAGCGGTTGGGTCGGGACCCCTTGGGTGGGTCAGGGGTCAGAAATGGTCAGAAATGGTGGATGAATTCTGGATGAATCCGGATGAATCCCCAATTTATTTGGCCACTTGGCCACTTTCATGTCGGACAATTCATGATAATTCATGATGATTCACAAAATGAAATTTTAGCAGCGAAAAAAAAAAAACTCTAACTTGGGATCCACTTGAAGATCTTGAACTCGTAATTAAAATGGGATGACTATGGGATGTAAGCCAACTGGATGTAAATCCAGGTGTTCACTTTTCAGCGTCTCGTCTCAATTTCTATGCCCCTTCTGCTGATTCCTGATGATTCCTGATGATTCCTGATTTCTCCGAAGGATTTACATGGTGTTAGATGGTGTTACTTCTTTCTCTTTTTGTGGAAGGATTGTCGCTGATCGCAGATTGACCATCACATTTTTGGATGCCCTGTTTTCAGGCAAACCCATTTGAACACGGGATTATATATGACAAGCCCCCAGCTGCGGTCTAAGTGACTTAAATGCAAGTGATAATCAGCGATTGAAGGGAGCCACCAAGAAGCACGGCAACCCTTCAACTCACCGGGCTATCGATGAAAAGGAGTTACTCTCAAAACACCAGATGTTTGCGTCAGCATCAGCATCAATGCATCATGTAAACGTTTACCAGAGGCTACGCGGCTACACCTGTCGCAGCCACTGCCTCAGCCACAGCTGTGCTAAAAAGCGCACTCGGTGATCCTTTCAGAATCCCATAGTGGAAATCCAGTGACGACCACTGCCTGGTGCTGGTTCCAGCAAACCGGGCAGGCACGGAGTTTACGTTCAACTATGAGGGTCAAATTTGATAAATAGATCATGAAATCAATTGATAAAACAAATAAAAAGATAAACAAATAAATAGAACAAAAAGTTAAATAGATCAATAGATAGATAGATAGATAGATAGATTGGTTGATAGATTGATTGATAGATTGATTGATAGATTGATTGATTGATAGATTGATTGATAGATAGATTGATAGATTGATTGATAGATAGATTGATAGATTAGATTAGATTTGATTAGACTAGATTTGATTTAGATAGATAGATAAATAGATAGATAAATAGAAAGACTTTCTTAGAAAGATAAATAGATCGATAAATAGATAGATAAATAGATATATAGATATATAGAAAAATATAGATAAATATGTAGATAAATATATAAATCAATATATATATATATATATCAATATATAGATAAATATATAAACATATAGATAAATATTTAGATAAATATATAGATAAAAATATTAAAAAAATATTTAATAGAAATATAGATAAAATCTATATAAATATATAAATATATAGATAAATATATAGATAAATAGATATATATATATAGATAGATAGATAAATATATATAGATAAAATATAGAAAAATATATAGACAAATATAAAAATATCAAGATAAATATATAGATAAATAAATAAATATATAGATAAATAAACAGATTATTATATAGATAAATAAATAGATAAATATATAGATACATAAATAGATTATTATATAGATAAATAAATAGATAAATATATAGATAAAAATATAGATGAAATATAGATAAATATATAGATAAATATATACATAAATAATTGGATTAATATATAGATAAATATAGAAATATATAGATAAATAGATAAATATGTAAATAGATATATAGATAAAATATAGCTAAATATATAAATATATAGATAAATATATAGATTAATATATAGATAAATATATAGATTAATATATAGATAAATAAATAGATAAATAGATAAATATATAGATAGATAAATGATTAAATAAACAAACACTTATCATCTCAGCATGATTCAAATCATCATAGATGCTCATCCCACATTCCCTGGCAACTAGCATGACAGTTGTCATCTTACCAGTCTGTGGGGATTTGGCCATGATTTATCTATGTATATATTGATTTATAAACATAACCATTCATTTATATTCGAAAAAGATTGCTAAAAGTTTGCATGGTAAAAAAATCACCATTTTTCAGAGTTCAGTCACCATGGTTCTTTTTTTTGGTGTATGTGGTGAACTGAATGGGTATATCATATATGGTATACCCAATGTATACGTCCCTGAAACATCGGGGTGAACTCACCACAGTTAAACTCCGGCGAATCCCTAGGGATCCAGGCATGAGATGCTTTCACCTTTCCCCGCGAAGCCTGAGACTTTTCAAAGGCGCAAAAAACGCGAGTCACCGGAGATTCCAAACCGGAAGCATCTGGATGAAATGGGATGAAATGTATCATTGGCGTAAATTGAATAATTGCTACAATTGCGATTAAATACAGTAAATTGAGATTACATATATAATTGATATATAATGTGGGATTGATTTATATGGACTATTATATATCATAATTGAGTAATTAGCCCTATATTGGGACTATAATTGGGATATCTCTATATATAAACATATATCTGGATAAATCATAATGATTCACTAATATATAGTATGGGTAGCTACTAATGCTGTATACCCTCTAGTAATTTCTTACAGCTTGCTATGGGGTAGATGGCCCAGCTATAGCTTGATGAGTTCCTGTGTTTTGAAATTATCCATAGCAATTTATTAAATTACCACAGGGAGCACATCATGGAATATGCTATGGGATTTTAATAGCTATATATCATATTGCTCTGTGTCTGAAAAGGGGGGCTTAACCCTACGAATCCAGGGATTTGTCGGTAGTTGGGAAAATGATGAAATTTTGCATCAAATTTTGGGGTACACTTAGTGCACTTCAATTATCAGACAAACCCATTATGGTTTTGGGCACAAATCGTTGCTGGCGTTTCGACTCAACCATCGGATAAATTGGCGAAAAATGACATCTTGAGTAGCAAATGGAGATGGCTTAAATGGGTTACCAATGCACCAGCAGTTTTTTCAATGTTCCAGTGATTGATATTATATAAACTCTGCATTTTATCCATGTTGAGAAGTTTGTCATACTTTTGACCCCTAGCCAAATGACAGTGGCTACTTGAGAAGAACCCCCTACAACTTAAGGTCCTAGCTGCATTTTTTTTGAAAAACAAATGGTGTGACAAATCTCCAAGATTCGTGAGATATGTGTTTGTATATGTGTACATATATATCTGATAGTATATATAAATATAACAGATAGTAACTATTATATAAGTTCTGATATAACAAATCTATATAATCACATAGTTATATATGATCTCTATCTGTCTGTATATGTACATCCAACCCCTCCGGTATCATCTTCGAATCCCCGGCACCTCAAAAGTCCAGCGGGTTTTTTATCATCATTTCCCCCACTGAAAGTGCTATCTGCTATCTATTTTGCGAAAAAATGTCTTTTCCGACAAACCCATATCATATATCATATATATAATATTCTTCGGTATCCAATGAGGTTCCATGATATACCGTTAAACATAACCATTGAGTTTATAATCTACTGTGGAGTATCATCATTTTGCCCATGAAGATTCCCGTGCCCACATGACCCCCCCGGTGCAACGCTGGCACCTTGGCTCGAGCCTCCTGAGCAGCGGCCATGAGATATGCCTTGATATGACCAAGAAATTTATACAAAACATAACCAAAAATATGATATTTGGAAACATGAATCATGAATGTATATATATATATGCATGTACGTATGTACGTATTCAACTGTGTACATATATACCAATGTGTATATATATGTATATATATATGTATATACATATATATACATATGTATATATACCTACCTATATGTGTATATAAATATATATTTACATATGCAATGTATATATAACTATATATATGCATAGATATATATATATATAATATATATATGTATATATATATGTATGTGTATGTATATACATATATATATATATATGTGGCAACCTCACAAAAAAGAAATGTAATTCGATGTATATAATTCCTATAGTGCTATATCGGAGCTCATGCATATCATAAGAATGAAATTCTACTATTTTAAAATAAATACAAATTACTATTCTGTCTTTCTAGGGGTTACCAAAACTCAACTACACAAGGTTGACAGCGATAAAGTTGATACAACCAACAAGCTATGGGGATATCGCGAATGCAAAATTGGGGATTTGACTTTGATATCAGCAACTTATGAGGATACCAAGAGAATTTGGAGATAGAAGGCCAATCCAATTTGACGAGGGATTCATACATGTTGGGAAAATCATGCAGAAATGGGTGATTCTTCTTTGCTGTTGCCATGTTTGTTCATCCAAGTGTTGCCTTTTCATGCCGGTTCTTTGTCTGTGAAGCAACCTCTACCTCATCGAAATACAAAGAAAACGCCCAGGTCCATGTTCTTTGGGCATATCAAGAATAACTTGCTGGGTAGCTTGCTGGGCACATCTCCAAGATTCCGCGTAGCTGGCTCAGCCCCCCATCCTTAAGAAGTCCCTCGGGTCTCTTTCTGCAACTAATAACCCCAGGAATCCATCACTAAAATATCCATCAATAGCACTAGCTGCAGCTAGCAACCGACGATTGAGGCACAACAGCAGATCCTTCCCAGGGCGTCCTCCTGTTCATGATCACTTCCATCTTCAGCTCTTTCTCCCTCTCCATCCATCTGCTCAGGCGTCTCTCCATGAGCTTCCTCCATGACATCATCCTGCAGGAGAGCTTGTACAGCAGTGCAAGCGATTTGCTCCTTGTAAGAAACAAAAACCGGGTTACCCCAAAGCGACAACCAAACTCATGCAAAATTGCTCAAGTCAGTGGTGCTTGACCCTCCAAATGGGAACTGTGATTCGATCACTTTGCATTTCTATTGGTGTTCCCCATCCTTCTGCTCCAAAGGCTCGTTCGCCGGACTGTGCCCGCTGTGCCCGTTGTCAGAGCTGGAGGTCTGCGAGGGTAAAGCTCTGACGCTGGGAGAATGGAATACAGTAAACCTGAGGATAAGGGAATTTATGGCTTCTGGGATACCTTTTTGAATTGTGGGATGTTCATGAATTCTAAAAAAACAAAAAACTCCAAACATCTGGATTCATTAGATCTCCATCCCATCCCATCAGCATCCAATCAGCACTCGCCTTGGGCCACAGCGGCAGCAGGTTGCTCTCGGAGACCAAGATCTCGTTGTCCGCGGGATCCTCCAGGTCCAGCCGGACCAGCCAGCGCGAGGCTTCCTGTGACGGACGATGTTTGAAAGGCCCTCTGGTCATAGCCATAGCAGTAGGCATAGCTATGGTTTTTTTCCATGAAAACCATGGCCCATTTATGATATATATATATTATGATGATGATTATGATGATGGTGATGATGATGGTGATGATGGTGATGGTGATGGTGATGATGATGATGATGATGATGGTGGTGATGATGATGATGCTGGTAATGCTGATGATGATGATGATGGTGATGATGGTGATGGTGATGATGATGATGATGATGGTGGTGATGATGATGATGGTGATGATGATGATGATGATGGTGATGATGATGATGATGGTGATGATGATGGTGATGATGATGATGGTGGTGATGATGATGATGGTGATGATGGTGATGATGATGATGATGGTGATGGTGGTGATGATGGTGATGATGATGGTGATGATGATGATGATGATGATGGTGATGCTGATGATGATGGTGATGCTGATGATGCTGCTGCTGCTGATGATGATGATGATGATGATGATGATGATGCTGATGATGATGATGATGATGATGGTGATGATGGTGATGATGATGATGATGATGATGGTGATGGTGATGGTGATGGTGATGGTGATGATGATGATGATGATGATGATGATGGTGATGGTGATGGTGATGATGATGATGATGATGATGATGACGATGGCGATTTGCGGAACTTAAATGTGCTGATGTTTCATAGCTACGTTAAGTCACCAAAGCAGCGAATTGGGATTTCATGGATTTAACATGATTTAACCAATAACAGTAACAATAATAGGGTTGGTTGATCCATATGTGACGATGGACTGCACTGGATTGTTCGGATGCTTCCGATTGGGCATGGAAAAGGTGTTCTTTCGAAAGGATGATGAACTCTGGAGAAAGATAGCCTCAGAATTCAGAAAACGCACGGTTGACAAATCGAAGGGTCACCAAAACAGTGATCAATCGCAAATGGTGCCTGTGAATCAACTGGGAGCTTATGGTGTTCGAGGGATGAAGAAATGTCCCATGTGAGAATAAGACATCACCCCATCGTTGTGGGCATAATGTCCAACAACCATCTAGAAATATAGATCATCCAGTCGAATGCTTTCGAAACCCCCCCATTGAACGCGTACACTTGCCCATTTTCAGGTAGTGGCAAACCTAAATCCCCTCACAGGAAGCCACAAATGGACTGAGCATGTGTAGTCTTCATCTTCCAGCGGCAAGCATGCCCAGAAATCACAGCACATCGATGGTGTTCCAACCCTAATATGGCTCTGAAAATGGGGTGCCATTCAATGTCATTTAATGGTCATTTTAATGATTTTAATGGTTATACCATTGGAATCCCTTGGAATCGGACCCAAAATCCTCGGATTTTCCACTCCCGTTGGGATCCACTCCCCTGGCCCTGGCCACCTTGTCGTAGGACAAGATGGTGCACGGGCTTCCGTTCAGGTCTGTCTGGGACCTGCAGGCTATAAAACATTTTCAAGGGAGCAGCTGCTGAGTTTTTGGAATGGAAGCACTGAGCACCAATGGAAAATCACCATCGCCAAAAGTTGGGAATGTCCATTTTCAGCAATTTTTCATTACCAGACAAGTAGCAATCTCCGTCCATTTTCACGGCTTCTCTTGGGAAAATCTTCACTGGAAACCATGGGAAACCCACGCCGTGGCAGACCCGTACGACCTAAGCCTGGCACCTCAGGTTGAAGAGCGCCGCACGTTCCTCTGCTTGGAACTTGTAGCCCACCAAACTCCGTGGCACCTGAGGAATGACCCCAATCTGGGGAGGGGTCAAGCCATTCCGCAGGGACCACAGATTTTAGTACCCTCTGGTAAACTAACATAGCTATTGAAAATGGCCATTTATAGTGGATTTTCCCATTAAAAATGGTGATTTCCATAGCTATGTTAAATTACCAGAGGGTAGGTTTATTATTGACCATCTACTCAATCTACTCATTGGGGCACCCAATTTTGACCCATAGCCATCTGCACCAGACACCAGAGCTGGTCCATTTCATTGGAAAAATCGATTTGATTTCGACCCACTCCCTGATTTCAACAGCCTTCTGGAGTTCAACCCAATTCCCAAAATTCTTTTAGATTGCCAGTCCTGGTCAGAATTCATCCTTCTAATAATTCCTTTTAACTTTTGGATGTCCATCACAAACTGATGGTTGATGGTCATCCCATCCATAATAAGGATCCTTATAATTGTTATTATAAATCCCTATGAACCATTGGATGACTAGCCCCTATTAATGGTTATTAACCATGAGTATTGACCATAGCTCATATTGAATTGTCGGTGACGTTGCCGGGACCTGCCTCTGGCGTTGTGTTGCTGTTCAGCACAACCTTGAGTCCTGCAGCCATGGAGCAAGTTTCCAACTGGACAGAATGGCGGAATCTATCAACTTTTGAATCACATGCCTCAAACTTACCCTCTGGAAATTTGTTACATAGCTATTGAAAATGACCATAGAAATAGTGGATTTACCCATTGAAAATGGTGATTTTCCACAGTTATGTTAGTTTACCGGAGGGTAACAAGTCTCAACATGGACCCTACAAAATGTGGCTTTTCTCTGCAGAACCAAAAAGGCCCAAAAAGGAGGTCTAACTCCACCAAAAATGGCTCAAAAACATGGTTTCTCGGGGAAGATCCAAACCCGACATCCCGATCCTTCCGCGAGCAGCGAGCTTGTCTTGAGCCTGGAGTGTCAAAACCCCATAGAGTTCCCTGGTAATATCAAAATGGTTTGCGTTTTTGCATGTTCAACCCGATTTATGTATGCATGTGTATATATATATATATAATTATATATATATATACTAGTATATGATGTGTGTTTCTAGATATTAGTAGTGTATCATACTGCCTATGTATTTGCCAACAAACACGAAACCTTTCGCCCCTCCTGGCAGCGATGAGAGCGGGAACATGGCCCTTACGCATCTGGACCAGGCAGACTGGGATGTCATTTTGGTCCTGGCAGCTTTCAGGGCTTGGAAAAACAGGGAGCATACTTTGGATGATCATGGATAATCATGGATGATCTGGATACCAAAAAAAACTTTTCGCAAACTTTGATGGTTTAGACACAAAAAGAGAGTGGAAGTGAGGAATTGTTTTACCTCCGCATATGATTCACTCTGGAGTTATAGATGTTGCTGGCGAAGATGGTGCATACCGTGCCTATACAATATGGTCAGTATGGTTCAAAGTGTAAGACCTTCGGAACAGCATGTTACGCACACTTTCTTGAAGCAAAAAAAAGTGTAGTTCAATGAAAAATGAGGGCAAAACCTTGTACCCCTGTAGTTCACATCAAAATAGCTGGTAAATGGATGTTCATCCCACTAAAAATGGTATCTATAGGTATTGATCCATACCCAAATATACTGTGAATTTCTGCAACTTGGGCATGGCTAACCTTACACCCACCCACCTTCACGACCCTAATGGAGTCATAGTCCCCCACGGGTCCCAGGAACACACGCCTGGGACTGGACCAGAGAACTGCGGATGGTGTCAGAACACGTTGGAAAAACACACAGGTTTGAGTCCAGAAAATGGTTGAGAAAATAGTTGGGATAAAGATTTAGATGTTGGAACATGTTGGGAGGAAATTAGAGATAGATCGATAAATCCCTGCTTTCAACAAACCATCTTTATCACAAAGCCGGCTGTTCAAAGCATCAGAAAGGCGGCCATCAACTTGAAAGCACCAGCTCAAGCACTGAATCTTGGTAACCACTGACGAAAGTGGCTCACCTGGCTCCCTTCACAACTGTTATCAGCGTCAGACAAGTTGATCCTTGAAGGAGAACTGGCTTTGGAGGCACGGTGAAGGAGATCCCCAGCCGTTGGGGGTGCATTCCTGCCGGCAGCCAGCATGAGATCGGGCTAAGGTGCCGACATTTGTGGCTCTCCCCACGAAGCAGGGAAACCAGCCTCAGCACAGTGGAAAACCTCGACCGGGAACCAGAAGCTCATGCTTTCTCACCAACACGGACTAGCGAATGGGGAATATACCACTTAATATGCCCATTTTCATCATGACCGGATGATTAGAGCCGAAGCCGGAAAAAAAAAATTGAGAGGTACAGACTTCTCTTGATGTCTTTGGGGCTCACGCCAGCGACAGGTCTGCTGTGGGTTCCTCTGGACGACTCGGGAACCCATGGCTTCCCCATTTTGGACACCGGGAACCAATGTTCAACTGGGAGGGACACTTAGTGCCTGTGCTTTCAGATCATCCAGGTCACCTAATTCTCATGGATACACTCTATAGACTCTATATCAGTATACCATACAAATTAGCCCAGCTTTGACACAACCGCCTCCAGCAGCATCCGTTCTGCTGCCACCTGACAGCTCAGCCAACCAGAAATGGAGAGTTCATGGCTCATGTGGATCTATATAGACATAGATCTGTATACATATCTATATGAACATACATCTGGATGAATTAAAGTCATTCACTAAGCTAAGGCTCACAATCTTCTGTTGGCCAGCGCCCACCATCATTACAGTGGGGCCACAGCGACGAGTTCACCAAGAAAATGGCTATGGCGGCGATTTGGGACATCATTGGATTCAAAGGATTTGGGGTATATGCACACATTTTGGGGTTTCGTTAAAGATCAAGAGCTGGGTACATTCATGGACCAGGTGGATGTCGGGGATACAATGGCAGAACTTGGATTGAACCAAATCCTTGAAACAGGGGGTTTTTCAGCAACAAACAATGGGGATAGAATGGAAAACAACCAAGAAACGCTGGGTCAAAAAACTGGTTCTGTTGAGACACCATGGGATCACAGGTACACTGTTTTCAGACAAACCCCTTTTTTTTTCCCGGAAAATTGGGGGGAATATGAAACAAAATCGCTGGAAGAAATCACTTAGCACAAATGTAGACTAATGAGGGGATAATGATATACATAACAAGATGATTGTGCAACAATGATGATAAATATGATGAAACTACCTAGATGATTCAAGTATCTGTTTTCCAAATAAAGTTTCTATTTAAGCTTCATAAGGATGTCATGACGTTCAATGGGATGATCATCAACACCTTTTTTTAGCGTGTGATGCACAAAATGAGCCATGGAGACCAAGAGAGTTAAACTACGCTTTTCCACCGTATTCACCAATGGATAGTAAGCAATGAAAGTGGAGACACAACTTGAGGTAATTCCCTTCAAAAAGCTCCATGTTCATTGGGTACTATCCATATTTTCTATTGGCATTTCCCATGTAAAGAAAAAAAACGAAGGGAATTTGCCGATAGGAAAATTCCAGGTGTCTCTCTGGCTGGGCGCCAGAGGTCGAAGCCGGCCATATTGTTTGGTCTTAAAAGTTGAAGCACAACACGAGGAAGCGCAACAAATGGATGTGACTGAAAATGGGATATAACCCATTTGAATTGCAATTTGAGTTGGGAAGTTGATGATAAACCATCAAAGTTCAGGTATATAATTGTCCTAGTTTTGTACAAACCCAACTAGAATGGAGTATGTCATGTCTCAAAATCCCCGAAACCGACTAAAACATCTAAAAGCCTTACCTCATCAAACTCTTCCCCATGAAAATTGCAACTTTTCCCATGTGGCAGTGTGTCAAAACCTTGTACCCCTGGTGAACATCAAAATAGCTGGTAAATGGATGGTCATCCCACTAAAAATGGTATTAATAGGTATTGACCCATACCCATGTCCCATTTTGAAAGAAACTCAAACGAGCCGCGCCGCGGCGCCGCGCACCTCACATTTTCGATGCCTTGACTTCATCATCCACAGCACCAAACCTGGCGCGAAACCGGGGACCCAAACAACCTGTCGCGATGATTGGTCCACGGGAAAATGTAAAAACCTTGTTATTACCATTATTGGATATTAAATAATGGATATTGGTCCACGATAAATGGATATGATTTACCAAAAAAACCTTGCCAGTACAACCATCCTCAGAATCATCCAAAACCTGCCCTCAGTGAATTGGAGGGTCCAAGACTCCAAGATTTGAGCGATGTAAGTTTGAAGTGTGCGTGCAAATGGTGCTACAAGCCTCCCGTTTGGGTATGGGTCATGATTATCCATCCAAACTGGATGGTTTTGTTTAAAGCAAAACCCAGAAAGATAGAAGTTGGCAAAATCCTACTAAATGAGTGGAAAATATGACCTTCGAGATTTTTTGGTGTTAGTATAACAGCAAAAAAAATACAGAAAATCTGGTCCCTTGCTTTCCGAGGCACCAGCAATTGTTCTCGGACCATTGGCTGCCAGTCGAAGGGGGCGAACCCGTGAACCAGTGGATATGATGGAAACCACTGGCAGTGGGTTGTCCCCCAGAAAAACAGTTTGGATAAAAGGTGGGTTATCTTGATTTCTTGGATCATCAACTTGTTTTTTTGAGTTGGACTGCGATTACCTTGGAACAACCATCCGGACACACAAACCACAGTGGCCAGTCATGCTCCGAACTCTTGACTCGCAGAAAGTTACATTAGCATCTGCATGTACAGAAACACGCACATCTTTCTGTGTCTATGATCATGATCTATATAATACCGTATATCTGTATACATATCTGTGATATATGGTCATTTACATGTGATATTTCAAGTGCATTTCTCACATGTCCTACCATTTGCACGTTGATTTCCCACGTCATTTCACACATGGCCAGTCTCTGGGGGACGACTTCCATCGGGCCACAGCTTGAACCATCCCCAATATTTCACCAAACGTGGGTGGGACTGAAACCATCAATTTTAAGGGCTGGTTTATGACATTGTTTTACTAACATTAATTGGATTGTAGCCATTGATAACCATTGGCAACCATTGGTTGGTAATGCTTGGCCATGATATGATATGGATTTTCACTGGGGTGTACTGGAATATCATATCATGTGGGTTTGAGAAATTGCGGGTTTAGCGTTGGGTTGAATCACTTCATTGGAAAAGCGAAAGGCCTAAAATTGTCCTAGGTCCTAGGGACACCAAACACGTTTTTTTTGTTTCAGGACTTGGTAGCAAGGCTCGTTTCAGACGTACAAATATGTCATAAGCAGACAATTGTAAGTTACTTGGGGGTCCTGGGACACATACATGTCAATCCCATTTTTTCAATGAAAATTGTGAAGTATCGGCCTCCAACCGCTACTCGGGATTTTTCAACTGGATATTGGTAATATTGGTAGACATCCAGATTAGGGTAATGACGAGAAGGTTCAAATGGGTTCATGATTATACCTTCTGGTTCATAAATCGTTTATAAATGTGCCATGTTCCATAGCTCCTGCAGAGGAATCTCGATTTACCGCAGAAACCAAAAACGATCACATTGGGTGGTATTGCCCGTGATGCTACAGTTATATAACAAAACACTGGGGATGATCCCCACCCGCTAATCTGCCAAGTCAATTTTTTGGAGGATAAAGTTTTCTTGAACCACGCAAAGGGAAGCGGTGCTTTGAACATAAACAATTTTCGTCCATTTAAACCCGCCATTTGCCCCACCTTCAGGTCTGCTATGTCAATGGGGTCTATCTCCGGTACGTTTCTGCCGCAAAACCACGACATGGTTGGTGGAATCCGGGACGTTTGACTGATTGTTCACTCAAAACTATTATATACACATAGGACGTGAAAATCAATGTGGCGTTTTTCAATCCATGAGTGAACCTGGCTATTGTACAATGCCAAGAATACGTTCAAAGCAATGAAAATAATGTTAATATAAAAGAATTGTTGGTAAACTTAAATCGTTAACAACAGCTGCATGTTGACAATGTTTCAATTTTTGGACATGGGAACATCCCTTTTCAGGCGTTGCGGGTTTTCATGGATAAAAAAGAGTTGGCCCTGTGGTTTTTTGAATTCTATGACATTTTTCCCCATGTTCAAGTGAACATCGTGTTGCTTAGCACTATACATGTGTCGCAAATGCAGGCGAACCTATTAGTTCCCCACCCTTCACAAGTCAAACATTTGTGGCACATGACAAGAAACATTGCGCAGTATCGTTTCAAAAATGAACGCAAATGCAATTGAATTTAGTCGCCCCTCCTCCGCCCCATAACACCCCGAAACCATTTCATATTTTTCAAGGCGGTGAGTCAGCCAGAAAAAATCGTACAGTTAAAACAAGGTCATGGTGTTGTTAAGCACTGTGACCTCAGGTTTTTGTAAACCACTTCAGCAGTTTCAACTGTAGTTCGATATGTTTCATGTCACCAAGCGCCATTTGATGTTACATTTCATGGTCAAACACAGTTTAATGTGCTCCGCATGTCATACATATCAGTTTCCGGTTTTTATGTGCAATTTGACAACCTTTTTCCATGGGTCTTTCGTGTAGTTCCATCTGTACATCCAACTGTTCCCATAGGTCGACATTTTTTTTATCTACGGAAAAATGAAAATATTATTCTCACACGCCACTCTTCTGAGAACTTTGAAGCTGCTGACGCTGAATGAGTGATTGCGCAGAATGACAAGGAAGGTCAAGAACGAGCATCTCTTTTCACAAATGGGCCGTTGTTGTCAGCCATCTTGGCTGCGGGTATGGCGTGTTGCCACTGGTCCTGAAATGGTGAAATTAAGGTGAAAACCAAAGGTTCCAATGACTCCACAATGTCAAACAGGAGGAAGTAGGGGAGGTGGTGGGTCTCCGCAAAAATTGACACAAGGGCCCACCCGCCCTCCACTTGAACCAATATGCAGAATCGTTTGAATTGCAAGACAATTCACGTTTGGTGAATAATCTATTGTCACACGTGACATGTAGTTATTCTCACACGTCACTCTTCTGAGAACTTTGAAGCTGCTGACGCTGAATGAGTGATTGCACGGAATGACAAGGAAGGTCAAGAACGAGCATCTCTTTTCACAAATGGGCCGTTGTTGTCAGCCATCTTCCCCATCTGTTCATCCACTGACAACATCAAATTTCTCAAGCAATCACTGGCTTTCGTTGACACATCTGTAAAACCCAGATTCAGCAAAATTGTTGGATCCCCTCTGGACGGGTCGTCTGCCAAATTACTGTAGGAGCTCACTCGAGATATCCAACATAAGGTGTTTGTTGCAACTTCGATTTCAGCAAAAACTTGAGCAATGGCGTCCACAGCGCAGTTGTCTGATTTCCTCTGATTAAACTGAACTTCGTGCCCTCATTGTCAACATACAAGAAGCTCTTCTTGTCTTCAATGAACTCAGCCCACAACTTGTACGCAAGGACTGCACAAAGTGATTCAGCTTCAAAAATTATTTGTTTCCTATTGGGTTCTCCCAATACCCTCCGTTGCTCCTCGTCAAGTTGGCATGAGAAAAACAACTTTAGGTCTGAGGCTGTGTCCACCAGAACTCCTCCAAGGCCGCAAACTCTATCTCTTGCATCCCTTTCGTAGCAAGCATCAGTTATGATAACTACAGAATGTTTGCTTTCACAAAACACTCGCCTCGGGGTACCTGAGTTCAACAGGCTTGTGAACAGTTTGAGAAAAATTGCCTCTCTCTTCTGTATTTTGGATCTCCTTTTACATGCAAACTCACGAAGTGCAACAATGCAACGCTTGCCTGTGCGCCCATACAGTTGTGATTCTGCAAACTGCATCCGTCCTCTCAGCTTCTGCGCTTCAACCTGACTGATATGGCCTTGCTCTAAGATCCGGTCGATCTCTGCAGTTATTTCCAGAACTCTCGCTTCAGTGTTGTAAACTGCACATACACCAGAATTCGACCCAGTTAAATTAAAAATAACTCCAAGCGCTTCACATTCCAGACTAAACGGCATACACTTTCTTCCTTCTTCTGCAAATGCCCATCCCAGCAGCTTGAAAAGTGAGGACGCAGCAAGCTCGGAGCTTTTGGCCAGCTCCGGTTGGCTCAGCACTATAAAATCGTCAAAGAACGACGACCACATGAGCTTGCACCCCACTGTACCTATCCACCAGACCGCTCTTGCTAAGCGAAGGAAACTATGCACGCTCCTTACAGCACCAAATGGTAACACCTGAGCTTGAAAGACCACCCATTTGTTCTCTTCCGGATTGAAAACTCGGATGTATGCAAACTGTCTACCTTCAGCGTTCAATCCGACTTGTCTGTAAGTCGATGCCAAGTCAAAAGTGCGAGCAACAAGTTCCCTTTTTGTTTCTTCTTTCTCACAACAAGCAAACCAATGCGCTACCGACGCGCAAGCAACGTCAACCGTGTGAAGCACCGGGGATTCCGTAACCAAAACTGTTTGATTGATGGAGGACTCACTGTAGTCATCTATCATTCTCACCTTGTGCTTCTGCCGTAGACCAAATCTCTTCGATATCGGAGTGTCCACTGCCACTTCAGAAGGGTCTAACGGACCTATCAGCCACCCTTTATCTCTCTCTTCCAGTGTCTGACCCCAAACTTCAGCGTCAATCTCAATGTCTCCTGAACCTTTGCAATCTCCAAATATTTGAGCTCGACGGAATTCAGCTTGTTTGCGCAAAGCATCAGTGGTCAGTAGCGCTGGGGTGAACTTGAACGGTAGCATACCCGTTTTGGGGACTTCTCCAATAAGCGATACCCCATCAATCAGTTCCTCCAGGACTCCCGGATCAGGATATTTGTAGTAATCCAGCATCTCTTTAAACAACGCCAACTTCTTTCCTTTAACTGCTTTTTCCACAACAGGATCCATGGACTCTCTGAGCGCCAGCTCCTCTGGCTGAAGTTCTTTTGCACGCTTGTGCCAAAACTTGAAAAATTCCAGTCTGTGTTTTGCTACTGCTACTGTCCCAGCTCTGGCACAAAATTCAACCGTCTCCGCAAGTTCACTCGGAAGGGCTAAGGCCGGACTCATCGGATGGCTAACAGCACATGCTTGCTCCAAAAATTCTTGTGGCTCCCATTGAATTCCAAAAACTTTGACGGCATCAAATTTGAAACAGAAACTTTCTGCTAATACGGCCAAATCCAAATTTACTCCCCAGGCTTGTAATTCTGCATGCAACCTCTCCACAATTTCAGGTTTGCTCCTTTCCGGTGCCGCTTCCAAACACTTCACGTCCACTTTGAACCCCACTTGAAAAACGTGCAGTTGTTTGCAAGCCTTTGAAACTGAAAAGGTAAGTGGCCAAACTAAGGTTTCATTTTCGAAAAATGCCACCAGTTTCGATTTGAACGGAGGAACAAGAGGAGGAAGCTTTAACGTTGCTGTCTGCTCCATCGTTGCCGCTCTTGCAGAGTGTTGCAACGATGGCTGTGATTGAAACTTCAATCCTCTTTGCAGTAGTTGAAGAATAAACGCATGCACAATGGCTTTACACAAAGCTGGTGGGTAATGAACTTCCAGTGAAGTT